ACAAGTACTACATTGAACACGTTAATTACTTGAACAACAGTTCAGCATAATGACTGGAAGTAAATTTAAACCATACCAAAACAGGACAGTGAAAATTATGACATGAAGACATTCAACAAGTCATTGCATCGGTCATCTACGTCGTTCAAAGCTCGCAGAGCTTGTGACGCAGCGATGCATCACAACAGGCAGACAAGACGTATGGGAAATAGATGACTCGTCACATGTCAAAACCTTTTTCCGTTGCTCGTGGGCTTCTGGTTCTCCCCTCTCACGTCCACGGATGGATTTCAGAGCGAGCCAAGAATACATAGATCAGTGACCCCAGGGGCAGCCGGATCTCCAAAACCTGTTGGTTAAAATGTATACGAAAATTTTGAACATACAAATTCGTAGTGATACATACTAAATAAATACAGACTGAAACTGATGATGTCACCCTATTCATAGTGAACGGGGACCTGCGCCCCGTAAACACACTTTGTGAAGTCTAACGATGTAAAATAAACGTGTTATGATTGCATTTTTAACGAGAAATCAATGTTAACTTGTAAGAATAGAATACTAACCCTAACCCCCTCAAAAAATCCAACATGGCGGAGAGACGTTCATTCAAGAATCCAACATGGTCCGCCATGTTGTTCACTCAAGGGGCGTGGTTAACCACCACCAGTTCGTATGTATCACCACGAATTTGTATGTTCAAGATTTTCGTATACATTTTTATGAACAGGTTTTGGAGATCACGTTGCCAGGGGGGGTCAAGGGGTCCCAACAAGAAGGGTCTCTGTGGGACGTTACTGCTGTTAAGATTCCTCATTGCACAGTGAAATGCCAGAAAGACCTTCTGGCATAAACATATACTTTGAAGTTGTCACGAGAAATAAGCCATCATGACACCTTCAAATGGGGTGTTTATCCCCTCAGGTGTTCTGTTGCACATTTATGGCTCTTGCATTATTGGTGCTCTAAGCCTGCAGGAAGAAATCAAGGACCCTTCCTTTCACAATCTGTCACAATAATGTGTGTTTTTACATGAGCACGATTCAAAAAGCCAATGGCAGTGTGATAATTGGTGTGTCTATGTTGGTCTCTACAGGAGTTTCAAGGGATGGCAGAAAATTACCTCTACGGGAACATTGAGACGTGTGCAAAGCAGCAACACGGCACAGCTGTGAATACTGATGGAAACTTTGCAGGAGGCCAAGAATAAGTCTCGAACACTTTGCATTTGCTGACTTTGAAGGCATTCAAACACGAATGAGTAATATTCAACAAAGGCATTTCGCTTGAGAATTGAGAATATTTCCACGGAAAATGTTGAGGTATAAAGTATCAGTCAACATTTGGTTTCCTCATTCAATTAAGTGAGAAAGTGTGTCCAAACCTTTAACTGGTACTGTCCTTCTGTGGGAGAAATGATCGTCTTGATTTCATTTTCATTTTATTCTATAGCGTTCATTTTCATCTTTGCATTCTTTGAACAATAAGTATGTTTTTCATTCTTTTGCAGTAATAAACTATTGGTCAGACCTCTTTTGAAGTTGACACGTAGCCGAAATGAAATTTGAAGTCAAATTTGGTGTTCCTGCCTGGTTATATATAAACTGTTTAAACACTTAGTCACAATATATAACTCCATTCTTCACCACTGGGTAGCATGCCAAATGTAACACGGGACCAATACTAATCTGCAGCTTTTGGCATAAGCAATGTCACGTTACTAAATTAATCATCAACTGCTTTAATGTTTCCAAACATTCTTTTTTTTTTAAATACATCCCAATAATTCTGCATGATCCGTGACAAAATTGTAAACATTGCCCATATTTGTTTATTTCAATTAATGCTGCTGAAAATAAACCCATCTGCCGTGTTTTCTAGCTCTGGTTACTGCCATGTTTCATTTTTTTCACATGGGGAAATAAAAAAAAAGATCCTCCCTTTTCTTGTTCTTAAGGAATTTAAGGATACATTCTCTAAATTTAAAATGCCTGCGTACGGGTTTTTCAAGTCAAATCATTCCTACAATGAATCCTGCTCCTGTCTTCAGGAGGAAAAACCCATAAGACTGGCTGCCTGGTCCGAGGAGCAGAACCAAATCCAAGCCTCCATCATCACACACAAACACACACCCCAAAACACGACAACTCCACCGAGCACAAGCCGCCAAGGCTTCCACAGATGCAGCTGCAGGCAAACCAGCAGCTGAATGCCCCCCCTGATGATGATGATGATGATGATGAGTGTATGTGTGTGTGTGTGTGTGTGTGTGTGTGTGTGTGTGTGTGTGTGTGTGTGTGTGTGTGTGTGTGTGTGTGTGTGTAAGAAAGACAACATAAAAAACAGAATGGGAGACATAGCAGGGGCACGGATTAAACCAAAGAAAACCAAGGAGAACGCAATGTGAGGAGGGAACGTGAGGACGGGTGTGTTGTGTAAACCCCAGGTGGTGCTTGTTGTCCTGGATAGAAGTATCACCAGGGGCACGACTGCTCCAGCGCTGCAGCTCGCTCCTCTGCTCCTCCTTCTCTTCTCTCGCCTCTCTTTATTCACACGCACACACTGGCAGGAGTTGGCAGGATGGGAGATGAATAAAAAGAGGGCAACGGGTGGAGAAGAAATGAAATTATTGAGGAGAAAGAGGGAGGAGGAGGGGGGGGGCGAGAATGAAAAGACCAAAGAGAGGGAAATGCATCCAGGAGGAGAGAAAGGAGGATAATCCATTAAAAAGACGTATCAGAATGTCAGTGTGTAGTTTGGTTTAACCGGTCGCACCTTCAGCTGGTTGATATTCAGTCACGTGCGCGGCTCAGGGGGGCATGATCTAATACCCCCCCCACCCTTCTGCGCCCCCCCCCCCCCCTGGTTCTGTGTGTTTTCTATTCAATCTGTTTACTGTTGGTTGCTTTCTAGCAGTTGTGCAATGAGCACAATCACGGGGAAAGCCTTTTTCGGATACATTCTGCATACATCACACACATTTTCCACACCCACGCGGCTCCCCGAGGGGGCCGTTGCCGATAACAGCCTGCACTCTACACCTGATGCGTCTGTGGGGACGGTCGTCTCCGCGCTGAAACAGCAGGAAACAACAACAACATCAGCAGAGATGTTTTATGGTCCCTGTCTGACTGCTGACTCAGGACGTGCTTCGCCGCTCCAAATCTTGACCTCTACGACTCCTGTGGAAATCCCAAGTCTGACCTTAGAGCAGCACTTAAGACGCAGCAGCTGTGGGAATGGCAAACAGACACCGGGGGTCCAGATCTGGGACAAGACTGCCCCCTAATGGTTCGGTCATGGAGTTATGTCCGTTAGATGACGTAAGGCCAGGCTGTCAGTGTGTGTGTGCGTGTGTGTATGTGTGTGTGTGTGTGTGTGTGTGTGTGTGTGTGTGTGTGTGTGTGTGTCGACACAGTAAACGTGCAACGTTTAAATAGGTTGGAGGGTTAATTCTGAGCACACACGAGGGTTCCTCGTTTTAATCCTTTCCTTTTGGGTTTGTTTCATGAAACCGCAGAATTAAAGGGTCAGTTCGCCCTAATTACAGGCCTGACCCGTAGAAATGTGGGGCTTACTTTGGACACCGGCCATCAGTCATGCATTATGTATAGCTTAGGCAGAGTAAAACCTGTTATGGGGGCTTAGGAGAAGCGTTAAATGTCCCTCACAATGGAAGCTGCTGCTTTGGAAGCAGCCGTTCCAAATACACGTGTTAATATAGATGTAAAGTGGTCCGAAATGCTACAGGTGTAACTGATTTGCAAAGCAAATGCATTTCCATTTTACCAAAGCAATTGGAGCGCTATTGATGCTGAAGCATTACGGTTTGGTGGTTGCGCGGGAGGGGGGGGGGGGAAGACGTTACCACGCCGCCCGAAGGCAGCTCTGCTCGAAGCAGATCCAGCTCACTAACAACCCCCAGTAGGCAGAGAGCCGTGGAGCTGCAGGAAGGATTTATCCGACCAGGGCTGCTCAGGAAACGCTGGGGCCCGATGCAGACACGGGTAGCGCTGACCTCATTACCGCCGCCGTCACGTGACATAACTACGCAGCAGACCAATTGCACGGCAAATAGGATATGATCCGATTTCAAAACTCACATTTCTCTCCTTTTTTTTTTTTTGGTTGACAAAATACATTATCTTCCATCATTTCATTTGAAGCAGCTGCCAGGTAGGGCACCACATCCATAAGAGTTAACAAGTTTGCCCTTTGAGGATCAGCTTTGTGGAGAAATAACCCTGGTTGCAGCCTTGTTGGCGCCGGTCGGCCTTTTGGGTTCAGGGAACCACAGCAAACAGGACTGGATTCATAATATGATTGAATGCCCAAGGTGAACTAAAGAAAAGAGAATATCAATATGGAAATATGGAAATGGACTTTATTATCATAAGACTGTACTTGAACTGTCGGCTGTGATCAGACTAATGCCGCGGCCTGTTTGCCGGGTAATCAGACAAGTGGTTCTGCATTCTGAATGCACTCGCACAGTTGTTTCCATTCCACACCTTGAAATTGAGAAAACAACTCAAACACAAATCAATGAGGATCCCTTAAAAGACCCACCGGCTCAGCGCGCTGGGCTTTCATGCCTGATTGGGTCTCCTGCTTTCCTCGTGTTTGGTGTTAAATGTGATGCTGAACGTTAAGATTTATTAGTCTCATTTGTAGTTACTGTCCTTGAAGTTGAGTCATTTCCTTCAAGTTCACAACTTGTCCATCAAGTTACGGAAAGTTTTATTTTTCCTCACTTCATCTCGCCCTCATTTCTGAGAGAGACCGAAGTAGATCTCTGGTGACCGATCAACAACAAACAGAATTAAAGCTGTAAAGACCTGAATCAGTAAGCAGGTCTGTAATTGAAACTCATCTTTTTCGCTGGCTTCTTTATAGAGATGATATTATGAACAAACTCGGAAGCAATATTTGCTTCCGGCTTTGTTTTGGTTTCAGCACAAACCGCACTAAAACATCTGTACAACTCAGACAACAGATACTTTCATAAACCATCCAACTGTCTTTGATTCTAAAAGTCAACTCAGAAGTGGTCAACAGTTCACACAGCTATTTATTTTATAGAAAGGTGTAAAAATGTTAATAAGTTAAATAAATGTTCCTCCTTCGAAGGCTTCTTCTGAAAGTTGTACGATAGGCTTGATTCACTGTTCACAAGGACATTAGAAACCATGTGGTATTGATCCTTTGTGCTATTCATACAGCACGTCTCAGTTGGGCCTCTGCCGTCCCCGTTGCGTGGTGGAAGGACGGGCCTCGTTTGCCGGCTAGAGTTTCTTCACGCGCATTCAAGGGCAGTGGACACTTGATAGGTCTGCGTCTTCATCCGCCGCTTCATCTCTCTTATCATCTGACACACAGCCAGAGGGTAACAGCAATACACTGTGGTCCAGTCCTCACACACACTTCCCTGTGGATGAACAACAGCGGACGGACACGCGCACACAAGCAAGAAGCGCACGTGCGGACACGACAACGCAGCAGCAACACGTCCAGAACTATGAGAAACATTACACGTCAAAACAATAAAACAGAAATATTCAAAGTGAACTCTTGAATTGATTATTCACTGGTAGCGATCGGTTTTTCCATTCATGGTGGACTCATTTTTTAAACTTATTTTGTTAAGTCCTCCTAATGATGTGTTCGAGGGCTGACACCCACCCGTATCTTGTACCGCTCCCTGATCCCAACTCGCATGGCGAAAGTGGATCCCGGCAGCAGTGGCGTGCAGAGACATTCTCCGTACTGATGAGCTAAACTCAGGTCCAAACAGCACGGCGCCAGAGCCCCGAGCGCACCTACGAGCACAGGGTGTGAGATACGTTTACACGCGTGTATGAGGATACGGCTCCTGTCAGAGGGTTCACGTTACATGTGGTCTTGTCTCCGCAGACGTTCAGCAGGCCAGTGCTCCAGTCTCCTCCCGTCTGTGTGATGGTGGTGATGGTCGTCGTGGTGATGCCGAGGCCGGGCTGAGTGAGTATCGGATCTGCCGCTGCCGGGACGTTGTTTGACCTCAAGGCGTCTTCACTTCCTGTGATGGAGACCCTCACTTCCTCCTTTTCAAAAGTTGACACTGAGCCTCGAGTGACTGACAGCCTCGGTCTGCAATAAAAAAAACGGTTTTATTGTGTATTCATCTTTAGACAGAAGGTTGAGGAATCATCGTGGTTTGTCACACTGAAAGAAGTGTTTACTTTTTGGGAAATTGTTGCAGAATTCCTTTTCTAGAGCAGCCTGTTTTGTACTAAATATAAAATGGTATACACTATAATCCCACTAATATTAGCATGCCACTATTTGCACTACGTAATTTATTCCCGCATTCAATTACTTAAGGCCTCCAGCAACACTTAAATTACACACACGCTTTACTGAAGGCATAATTTAAGTTAACATTTTAAAATGCAGCAACAGTGTGTTTAAGAAAGGCTCCCGTTTCATTTGCATTATCGGTTATCATAGACACACCAAACGGTAATGAGATTAAGAGGAAACAAAGCGGCACCTAGAACAACAAAACAGACCAAGATAAGTGAGCGCTTTGCTGTAATTCCACCGCGCTTCAGCGGTGTCAACAATGTGTAGCGGCAGAGACAAGAAAAAGCACTCACTGCTGTGTGACTGTCATCCGCTCCATTAGTAGAAGCCACGGGCATCCACAGAGGGGTGAGAGGGGACTGGTGTGAGAAGGGAGTCAGCAGGAATGAGGAGGTGGAGGAGGGACACTTCCCCAGTGAGAGGGTGTGTGCAGGAGCAGATAAACCAGCAGCCGAATGGCTCGGCCCGAAGCTGTGTGACCGAGATAAGTCTCGCAGATTGCCTTCTGTCTGCGACTTTTACAAATGCAGCGAATGCAAAGAGAGAGAGAGAGAGAGAGAGAGAGAGAGAGAGAGAGAGAGAGAGAGAGAGAGAGATGCACCACACTGGGGGTGCAGGAACATGAACGTCTGGCATGAAATATTCAGATGTGAATAAATTCTCACAATTAACATGGACCAACCTGCAGGCCGGAACAAGCTGACATCTTGTAATGAGTGATAACTTATTCTTCATGATTAGGCTAAAACGGAGATACTCGTCGCACCCAAATATATGAGAAATGATGGATGTGAAAAAGATGCTCAAACAATTCTAATAGTTTATTTGACCTGTGATGTTCAAAAAGAAGCATAAAGACATGAATATGGTTACGCTTACCAGCAGACCGACTCAAGAAGTAGAGCTGAGAACAGACAGATGGGTTTTATGAAGAAATACGTGCAGTTCATATCTAGAGGGGATTGTCTGCATTTCCTGCTTTGACTGTGACCTTTAAATTTAGTCAGACTGTGTGCGTGCATCTGCGTGTGTGTGTGTGTGCACGCACAGGTGCGTTACGGAAGAGAGCGGTAGCTGTACGTGGTGGAACGACACGAAGTGCGACCATCGTGGGTTTAGAAACCCACAGACGGTTCAGTGACATTCACAATGGGTCCGAATGTGGGATAAAGGCAGATGTCGTGACCTTTAGACAGAGCCGGTCGAGCCGTTTCCAGTCTGCATGCTAAGCTAAGCATGCTAAGCTAGTTAGCTTCAAGACACAATTTCAAATCTTAGCATAAAACATGTGGGCAGTATCTTTTTATACAATACAATTAGTCATTGTTAAAGTATCTTGCCCCGCAATGATAAACTTTTTAGATTGACTGTTCCATCTTATTTGCATATCCCCATTCATCAATAAATATTTCATGCCTTTATGCCGAATTCTCAGAACCTCTGACATCTTCTTAGTGTGCATCGCTCTATTTAGATGACTGCTCGTGTTGCAAGTTTATACAGATCCTCACTATCTACATTGCAGGAGAAAACATCAAATAGCTTCACCAAATTCATGATTCACAAGTCTCATTTTTGCGGGAAACAGTTGTTTTATTTATATCAGCGTAGCAATAAACAAACAAGGAGGCTAAATATTTCATAGGTTTTATTATTTCTCCTGAAAGCACAAGTGAAACAAGCTCCATCCGACCCCAGAAAACAGGAAAGATGTCACATCAAAGTCTCACCTTCAATGTATAAAAGCAACACAGCAGACGCATTACCATCTATATGAAAAAAGAAGGATGCAGGAGCAGTCTCACCATGTAACAGAAGAAGGTCGGTGAAATAAAAAGGACATGGTTGTAGGTTTGTTTGTTCCCATCAGAAAAGATTACACAGATTACTGAGCTTCATACCAAATAGGAAAAAAGTGGCACATTGAGAAAAATTACCAGGATTAAATTTAACCCGGCTTTTAAATTGAGACTGAACAGAAAAGAAACTCTAGCGTCATCCCTCAGACACAAAATCCCAAGGGGGTTTTTTAAAATTTCCCCCCCCCCCCCCCACACTATTAAAGAACCTTATTTAAGCACCAAATAATCAATACCCCCCAAATTTGCAAGGTGTAGGACTGACCCTGAATTATCTTTTTTGTGCAGACCGAAACCAGATCCGAATATACTTGAATTATACTGTTGTAAGATGACAGATGCAACCTCATGAGATCCTATTAGTTTCACTGAGGCCGCATTCAGCAGTAAAATAAGGTGAATAACAACCAGTCAGATCCACAGAAGCATAATTATAAAAACAGATATATGTTTGAGTCAGTGTTCTATGGCTTTGAGTCAAAAATACCCTTTTTGTGGCAACAATTATTGATTCATTCAAACTATTCCCAAATATTTCACTGCTGAATGCGCCAACATGTGTGTGTGTGTGTGTGTGTGTGTAAGTGTGTGTGTGAGAGAACGAGAGCGAGCGCATGCAACTCTAAAGAACCAGGTACACCAGGGAGTCCCCGACGTCCACGGTGAGGCCGTTGTCGGCCAGGGTGACCTTCTTCTCCTCCAGGTTGACGCTGAAAACAGACTTGTTGGAGACGGGCACTTTGCCCTGCTCCTCGTGTCCCAGGACGGGCACCCGGCGGGGTCCCAGCGCAGGGTCCTCGTACCTCATCAACTTGACTCTGGACAGGTCTGGAGGAGCAGAAGCAGGCGCAGTCAGGTGGAGGTGTGACACAGGGGAGGCGTGAATGTGAAAGGTGGTCGGGGTGGTGAGTGATGAAGGAGAATCAGAGCATAGAGGGCTGGGGAGGGGGGGGCAGGATTGAAAGAGGGAAGAGGTTACGGGCAGAAATTGGATGACGGCTGTCGCCATCGTCGCTTTTTGCAGAACATGTGGACGGATATTTAATGCCAATGAGAGTCTGCTTTGAGACAAGTGGGCTAACTTTAGGTTCAAGTTATGGGAGTAAGGGAGTTCAGGGATCACCATTAACTACCTTCCCGAGTCGGTGTGCAGTGATGGCAGATGGCAGAGACTGGAAAAGGTTGGGAGGCATAACAGGGGACAATGGCGCTAGGCCGGATTTGGCTGTTGGACATCCGTTACGTAGTCAGCTGAGCACATGATGACATTCATTACATTAAAAGATGAACGAGCCGTGCACACCCTTTTAACCTTTGACTCAACGGTTTAGAGACATTTTTCATCAAACGCCCTTCATCATATTTAGATAATAACCTTCATTTTTGTTCATACAGACTCATTTGTGGTTCCTAACCACAGTTTATGAATTTCTGCAGAATATCCATTAGTCTTACTAACCTTTAATGAGTCTGTTGACCTTGGCTAACCTACGGATGATGACATCGCCGCTGTCTCCCTGTCGGATGTCCACCTTTGTAGAGAACTGGCCGTTGCACGGCTGAGGGTTCACGAGGGACACACACACTCCAGGCTGGGGAAAGAAGAGGACCAAGGCAAATGCACAAACGTATAAACACAGATTTTGTTCATCAGGAAAACAACCAGAAGGGAAACAAGCAACCAACAGAGATACAATACAAAAACACGTGAACATATTATAAATATGTGTGAAGAACACATCTAAAAAAAATAAAAAATGCAGGTCACAAAATCTGATAAAAGGAGGCTGAAATAGACTTTTACACCGGCCCTCTAATACACACACACAAACCTTTAAGAGCAGCTAACACAAACGCATTTACCTCTGATCTGAAAACACAGAATGGTTTCCCTGGGCAACAGTCCTCCTTCACTTTGTCGTCACCCTCAGATGCGAACAAGATGTCAATCTGTTCCAGCTGTCGAGGATGTGAAAAAGAACAATTATCAGCCGGGATCAATCCACTGCCGGCGAATCTGCACAGCGGTGTGTTTGGTATGCAAACTGGCAAACGCTGGTGGTGTCAATCTGGCTCCAGCTGAGATCAGAAACACAACATCTGGCATTGTGGCTCACACGTTCCGGATTAGCGGAGTTATCAACGGTATCGTGAAGTAGAGTAACAAAGTGCCCGTTGAAACTTTCCCCTCCACACATGCAGCATAAAAACATTTACCATTAAAACAGTAACTTTTCAAGAATGCAGAGTCAACGGATTTACATTGGGAGTGTCAAACTAATCAGCTGAGCTCAGTTTGTGAGGCAAGTAATCCAACACGCTTTTTCAGTCCTACATCATAAAGAATATTTCTCCTCAGTTTCACTTCTCCGTGGAGGCTTACTCTTCAGCTGTGAGCTATCAGTAACATTGGAAATGGATTCAGGGTATTAGTTTGACGCAGATTATATGCGGTTTTCTTTTTGTGGTTAAATGTGTGCTGGTTTGAGACAAGTATCCTGGGGACTCAGGTTTTACTTTCGACTAGGCTAAGCCTCTTTGCAGACAAAAGAATTAAGGGCTTCCCTGACTGACAACCGAGCTCAGGACTGTCTCAACTGACTCCTGTGGCTGCCAGTTTACAAATTTAGTATATCCTCCAATCTTTAACTCCGCACTCATAAAAATGCAGACCGGTCAGAAGTCTTTCTAGCTGGCCGCGAAGACTCGCGCCATCCATAAATGTCCCAGCTGATTTTAGGAGTGTTCCCAAAACATACCTCGAGAGAGTTGGTCAAGTAGACCAGATTTTCCATCAAAACTACCCGCTCATCAAACTCCAGCTCGAGATCCAAGACTCTTGAACCGTTCTTCTCCAGGTTCTCCTGCAGAACACAAATAGTCAGAATCAAATCATACAACGTCAGCGATGGGAAAGAACATCGAGAAAATAAAGCAAAAAAACAAGCCAGCATTATGGAGTCATGATAACACTTCCATAATGACATTATTGAATATTACGTTGTTCTAATATTTACCAACTTGTCGCGCCCAAAACTGCTTAGTAAATGCCGTTATTTGATCAAAACTAGAAGTGATGGAATTTGGAATTTGAAAGGAATTCAATACATTCTGAAGGCGAAGCAGCCAAAATATAAAATCAAACATTTAAAAACGTTGTGATTGTAACAAACATGGATGAGGGTCTGAGAAAGCCTTTGAAAAGCTTGTTTTGTACTCTTTCAATCAATAGAGCAAAAATCCTGGACCATTCTTTGGAATTTCCAGGTAACACTGTTGCTCAAACAATATTGGCTACAGCGTTGTAATTATTTCACACAAAGTAGAAGAGAAAAAGAAGAAAAAAATGAATTGGAAGGTTAAAGTATGCATCATCAAACAGAAGCAGTAGGACAGATTTTAGACCACAACAAACAAAAGATGAGCTACCTTGAGCAGTGAGTTGGGTGGTAAACAAACTCGTGAACAATGAGAAAAAAAGAAAAAACTAAAAAAAAAGGCAAAAATGTAGAATATTGACATTAGATTAGATTCAACTTTATTGTCATTGAGTACTGAGGCAACGAAATGCAGTTTAGCATCCAACCAGAAGTGCAAAATAGCAAAAAGTGCAGAGTATGTGCATATGTAAAGTGTAATAAGTGAATAAATAG